AGGGGAGGGAGGGGTGAGAGAATATAAGGGGGTGGAGGGGGTAGGTGGAGGAGAGGAAGGGGAAGAGGGAGGGGGGAAAGAGGAAGGAGGGGGAGGGGGGAGGGGTGAATCGTGTTTATTTTATAACAAATATTTTGCGATCCAACGTGACTCGAAACTGCTGCGTGTTTTCCCACGGGCGCAGAGGACGTGGAAGTTGAATCGTTACTGGATTTTTTATTATAATTATTATTATTATCATTATTATAAATACATATTTCCGATTGGAGTGTTTTTGAAATTGTAAACATGTATTTTCCATTACATTGAAGCGTTGGTCATTATGATATTATAAAGTTGAGAGTATGATGATGGTGTCGATAATGTCGATAATTGTTCGGACGATATGACATAATAATTATAGTAATAGTGATAGTAATGACGGAGAGGGCGTTAATAGGGGGAATAAAAGTAATAGGAGTAGTTGAATTGATAATGTTATTAATAGGACAATATAAAGGAAGCGCTGAGTTTGCGAGACTTAAGAAGGGCAAGAGAAGAATAAAAATAAAGGAGAAAGGAAAAAATATATAGGAAGATTAAAAGAAAGAGAAGAAAAATAGGAAGATTAAAAAAAAGAAAGAAAAAAATAGGAAGATTTAAAAAAAAAGAAAAAAATAAGAAGATTAAATAAGGGGAAAAAAAAACAAGATTAAAAAAAGGAAGATAAAAAAAATAATAAAAAAAATGGAAGATAAAAAAAAAAAAAAAAAAACTGAAATTCTGTCGAGATCTAGCCATGGCGCCATCGTCTCTGTTAATGGAGTGCCAGCTTCCAGTGCCACTTCAGTCTCGAGGCACTTAGCTTCCTTGTTCAGTGGCCCTCCCAAGGATAAAACAGCTGATGCGGGGATGGATCATGCATTGGCTTCATGTTCCAGCCTTGTAATCATCTTCACCCACGAGGAGGATGGCAAGGATGGCAGGAGGATGGGGAAAAGGTGTTTGCACAATCCGCGTTTGTGTGCGTGTGTGTGTGTGTGATTGTGTTTGTATGTGTGTGTGTGTGTGTTTGCGTTTGTTTGTTTGTTTGTGTGTTTGTGTGCGTGTGTGTGTGGGATTGTGTTTGTATGTGTGTGTGTGTGTTTGTGTTTGTTTGTTTGTTTGTGTGTTTGTATGTATGTATGTGTGTGTGTGTTTGTGTGCGTGTGTGTGTGTGATTGTGTTTGTATGTGTGTGTGTGTTTGTGTGTTTGTATGTATGTGTGTGTGTGTTTTTGTTTGTGTGTGTCTGTTTCTGTGTGTGTGTGTGTGTGTTTGTTTGTATGTGTTTGCGTTTGTGTGTGTGTGTGTATGTGTTTATAAGTGTTCGTGTGTCTGTATGTCTGCCAGGCTGTCTATATTTGTCTAGCGTTGCCGTGTATTTAAACTTTATAAATTTATTTTTGTAATCTCTTTGGATTGTGTCTCTGCATTGCAATAATCCTTCAGTAGCAATGCAACGGCTTTTCTTTTCTTTCTTCATAAAATACCTAGATTTCGTAACTGCTTCCATTATGCTCTCACAGTATAAGTGTATATGAAAGAATACTTATAAACTTTTTTTCCCTTCATTGTAACACGCAACAATAAACAAGCTACAGTCATTTACCTCTTCTCTTCTTCGATAGATATAGATGGATAGATATAAATAGATTGATACATAGATATAGATAGATAGATATAAATAGATAGATAGATATAGATAGATAGATATAAATAGACTGATAGATAGATATAAATAGATTGATAGATAGATATGAATAGATTGATAGATAGATATAAATAGATTGATAGATGGATATAGATAGATAGATATAAATAGATTGATAGATAGATATAGATAGATAGATATAACTACATTGATAGATAGATAGATAGATAGATATAAATAGATTGATACATAGATATAGATAGATAGATATAAATAGATAGATAAATATAGATAGATAGATATAAATAGACTGATAGATAGATATAAATAGATTGATAGATAGATATGAATAGATTGATAGATAGATATAAATAGATTGATAGATGGATATAGATAGATAGATATAAATAGATTGATAGATAGATATAGATAGATAGATATAACTACATTGATAGATAGATAGATAGATAGATATAGAGAGATAGATTGATATAGATAGATAGAGAGAGAGATAGAGAGGTAGATAGATAGATAGGTATAGATAGATATTGATGAATAGATAGAGAGAGATAGATAGGTATAGATAGATACTGATAAATAGATAGAGAGAGAGATAGATAGATAGATATAGATAGATTAGATGGTTAGATAGATAGATAATTATAGATAGATAGATAGTTATAGATAGATAGTTATAGATAGATAGATAGATGAATAGATAGACAGATAGATAAATAAATAGATAGATGTAGATATAGACAGCTATAGATAGATAGTTAGATATATAGATAGATATAGAGAGATAGATAGAGATATAGATAGATAGATA